ATGTGTATGAGATCAGTGGTGGGTATCATTGAGGAAGAGATTGTTGGCTTGCTGTATGGATAGCATAGAGAGGTTTTCACAATGTATTCTGCAGGACCTGTGCTATTTTGAATCTTTAGTGAGGATAATAAATGAAATGCATTATAACAAAAATAAAACATTTGAAGTGTCATTGTAGATGGATTTAAACACTTACTACTAAGAGGTTACAGTGTTTAGGATCCCAAAATGTTGAAGTTGTCTAATGAAAACATAAGTCAAAGTACGATTTCTTATTCATAAGGATGTAAGTTCAGCCAGGCATAGTTAATACTTAGACCAATCAGTTAGGCTGTATTCATTTAAAAAAAAATTGTAGTAAGGCATTTTGTAACTAGATTGCTTTTAATGAGGTATGTTCAGTTCTGTGACCTGTGTTGTGTCTGAAAGTTTTTCTAAAGCAGGGTGCTCATAAGTGCTTTTATGTCATTGAATTTAAGTTGCTGTTTTCTGAGCATGATATTTCTGGGTATAAGTATCTGGTTTTTTTTTTTTTTTTTTTTTTTTTGTCTTTTTCCTTTTTATCGGTACCGGGGATCGAACTCACGACTGCCTGCTTGCAAGGCAGGCGCTTATGCCGCTGAGCTAAATCCCCAGCCTAGTATCTGGTTTTTTAAGAAGATACTTTATACCAAGTATGTGTCATTAACAAGCAAAGTAGTACATGCTTATTTGGGAGTAGAAAATATATACTCACACCACTGCTTTGTGCAGTATTGGAGCAGTTATCAAAGAGTGACTTTTTAGGCTTTTTCTGTTAAAGCAAAACTATGTGTTGGGAAGAGACAGGCTGAAGATCTGATAATAAGACAGTGATTTATGCCTTAACAGGTATCATTTTATGTATGAATACACCCTTGTAAACATGCCCTGAATGCCTGATTAGGTGGTTATTTGCTGCACTTATGTCTTTGCAGCTCCCCCCAAATTATAAATAAGTCACTAATCCCAGTAGGTGGATTGTAGGTGGATTGTATCGAACCAATAGAACTGTTAAGAGATAGGTTTGTAAAACTGACAGATTCAACTTTATTATTCTAGTTTTTTTGGTGGATGTGATTTAGGATAACCTTTTTCTCCCAGCTCTATTACTTTGATCTTAGAAAATTTCTCTTTGTATGTGTTGTCCTTTATCCTTTCTTCCTTTTAGTTCTTGTCCAGTTATGTAAAAAGAAATATTACTCCTACTTTTGCTTCCTCTAGTCCTCTTCTTGTTTCCTTTGTTCTAGCGGCAAACCAAAACATGACAGTAATGAGTACTGCCAGTTGTAGTGTTCCCTTTACCACGGAAAAGGTTTTCAGTTGGAACTTGCTAGATGTATGATATTTCATTGAATCTAAGATGTTGACTGGAAAATGCACAATTATTATATGGGCCACAAAGGAGGAAAATATGTGTATGTCTTAAAATCAGTTTGTCAATCTTTAAAGCCCTAGAAAATATTCTCAAGATGATTTCAGATGGTATAAGTTCAGTAATCTGATTATCTTTGCCTAAAACCAGTGATGAATTTTAGCATCACTAATAGGGGACCACCAGACAAAATACATGCCCTCCTCTGAACCAGTTTTGTCCCAGTTTTTAACCTAAGTCAAACCTTAGATCCTATCTTGATTACTTTCCTTTTATTGCTGAGACAAAATACCTGACAAATCAAGGAAGGAAAGGTGTATTTAGCTCACAGTCTATGGAGGTTTCAGTCCATAATCAGCTGGCTCCAAGGCAGGGTTGTTTGGCACAGGGGCAGCATTTCAGAGTGGCAAAAGACAGCAAAAGCAACAAGAGCAGGAAGGGGGAAGAGCAAGCCTACTTCCTCCTTTATGTTGTAGGCAGGCCAACCCTCCCTTAGCAGGGGTGTAGCACTCACAAAATCGCTGGGCCATCCTTTTGCACAGGATGAAGGTGTATACAAAGTAAAGACTCTGGCTTCCTGCTAGGTTGTTTGCTTAACTTCTAAACTTCTCAAATTGATGCAGTGTATCAACCATAACACACCCATTTTCCAGTTTACAGGAAATACTAGGGATAGAGAAACTGTTTAGGGCACACTATATGGAAATGTAGCTGAGACACAAGCCTGAAGGTCAGACATTTATCAAGAAAACTGGCCTAGACTTATCTTGGGGAAAATGGGACAGTAAGGGGGAATCACTGTAGACTGAAAGATGCTGAAGAGTCTTAACAGCTGCGGGGGCTCAGTGCACGAGTACCTGCCTGGCAGGTGCAAGGTCCTGAGTTCAATTCCTGGTACCAAAAAAAATCTTAACAATTGAATGTGAGTTGTGATCCTTTGTTAGATCTGGAATAAATGTACCAGCTTTTAAAGATGATCTTTAAATAATATAGAAAACTTGAATATGAACACTAGAAGATGATAGAGCATTATTATCTTCTTAGATGTAATAATTTGGAGGAAAATGGAAAATGTTCCAATATTTTTGTACATCTTTAACAGTGTACTCTGTTATGGTAGTTACAGTACACACAGACAAAAATCATGTAAATGTTATAGTAAAAAATGAGGCCCTTGAAGGAAATAGTTTGTAGAGGTGTTTAAAAAAGTGTCAGATCCATCAGAAGTGGCTCTAAGGCAGTCATGAGTTTCAAGCCAAAGGGGACTGTAGATGGCCTCAAGTGTTAGAGGTGGAAATGTTTGACCCTTGTGTTGTTACACCCTTACAGAATAGGTGTTGTTAATCAGTTGTGCTTTACTTTTTATTCAGGAAATAGAACTAAATCCCTTTTAACTTGTGTTCTGTACCCACAACCAGTTAACAACTTGTTAGTACTTGCTGTGAAATACATTTTGCCATCTCAAAGTTGGTCTTTTTGCAGAAGGTCAGGTGGCAGAGTAGAAAGCTTTGGGAACACAGATGAGTTAAAGGAATGCATTAGGATTTCTTTAACACAAGAGTACTTTTTTATAAGCTGTAAATGTTTAGTGTGAATGTTATTAATTTATCAATAAATATAATTTCATAAGTTTCAGGAGAGTGACTATCAATTAGAAGATCTCTTGTCTTTAAAAATGTATTTGGGATCTCAAGATTGACACAATGGAGCCACTGTAAGCCAAAGAGATTGAAGTTAAAACCAGTATCAAAGTGAAATGCTTTTGTTGAGTTAGATGTGCTAGAAACAGTGGATTGAATTTTGTAACTTATCTTTGAAAGTGAAATGCTTTTTTTTTTTTTTCTTGTACCAGTAATCGAACTCAGGACCTTATGTTTGCTAGGCAGTACTGTGCCGCTGAGCTATATCCTTGACCTTTGTAACTTACCTTAAAAAATTATTTTTATCTGTGCAAGGTAGCATTTGCCTATAGTCCCAGCTACTTGGGAGGCTGAGGTGAGAGGGTTACTTGAGCCCAGATTTTTGAGGTCAGCCAGGGCAAATGAGAACCTATCTCTTAAACAAAAACCCAGTTTGTTTTGTTTAGCATTTAAATTGTTTTTAAGACGTTGCTATCAGATTACCATATTTAATCTTTAAGTCTCCAAGTGTGTTACTTTAATCATCAGTTTTAACGTTTCTTTAAAAAGAGAGAGATGGTTTAGAGGAATTTTCTGAATATACAGAATTAAGGGCATTTGACTGCTTTAGAAATCATCTTCCAAGCTTTCCAGAGGGCTTCCTTCTGCTGCAAAAAGAAATCTGACAACCTTTTGTTTTATTAATTAATGGTTTCCCAGTGAACTAGACTGTATCCTTTAGCAGCCTGGGTGATGCTGGTCACAGTGGTGGGAATAGACTAGTTGAAAATCAGCATTTGTTTCTTTCGCACATTTTACCAGAATCACCTTGCAGTGATCCTCCTGCCTCAGCCGCCTGAGAGCTGGGATTACAGGCATGCACCACATAGCCTGGCCTGTTACACGCATTTTATGAAAGAACAACAGAAGCTGAAAGATCTCTACATCTGTTGCTTCTGGATTGAATGGGGGGGGGGGGGATTGGGGACTTCTCTTCTGCCCTCTAGTGGTTGCATCAGAAAGAGCCTTTGGAAGGTAAGCCCGGCTCACTGAGTAACTGGGATTTTGCTGTGCAGGTGGCACATGCCTGTAATTTCAGCACTTGGGGAGACTAAAGCGAGAGGATTACATATTTGTCCAGACTGGACTGCATGGCGAGTTCAAGGCCAGCCTGAGATCATAATAAGACACCATCTCAAGAAACGAACAACAAGAAGAACAGCAAAATGTCAGAGCCAGGCTAATTTGTTTAATTTTTAAAAATATCACTTGGAAAATGATAGGGAAAAATAAGTGGTCAGACTTTCAGACTTCTTTAAAGAAACTAAACACTTACTTTGACATTTATTTCAGCTTTTTATACTAATAAATTCCTCCAAAGGTTTTCTTTTTCTTTTCTTTTTTCCTCTTTTTATCGGTACCGGGATCGAACTCACGACCGCCTGCTTACAAGGCAGGTGCTTATGCCGCTGCTCCCCAGCCCCCCTCCAAAGGTTTTCTGCCTTAAACAATTTGGAATGAGGATTTCTTTCTTTTTGAAAAGTGGAATTTAGCTTCATATTTTTGTACATCTGAGACTTGGTCGTTCTGTTGCTGAGATAGATTGCCTAATAACAGCCTGAAGGGAGAAGGGTTTATTTTGGCTTATGGTTTTAGTCCGTAGTTGGCTGGTCCAAAACAGAAATGGAATGGTGGAAGGGGAGGTTGGAGGAAAGCTTTTCAATTTATGGTAGCCAGGAACTGAGAGAAGAGAGGAGCTGGAGGCATAATGCTTTTGAGGTCACTCCCAGAGTAACCCACCCAGGGCCCAGTCTCCTAGAAGCGCATTCAGCTCCTGAATTCATCAATTAGCTGATGAATATAGCACCCCTGTGATCCATTCACCTTCAAACACGTGAGACTTTTGGGATACATTGTAGATCTAAGCCATATCATGGATATAATATGTCGATATTGATTTACTTATCAGAATATTTGTTTATTCGCAGGTATATTTGCTTATTTAAATTACCACGTTCCTCGCACAAGACGAGAAATCTTGGAGACTCTAATCAAAGGCCTTCAGAGACTGGAGTACAGAGGATATGATTCTGCTGGTATTTTCTTTAAAAAAAATTACGGATTTTGCTTGATTATTTATAAACTGTTACTATTTTTAGGAGACTAAATTTTACTGATGCCTGTCTTGTTAAGCCAAATCTCAAGAATTTTCATTTTTTGTCACTTTTAAAGTGTTAATTCATGTAATTTCAACACTATTTAACATTGTGAGGGGTGTTGCTTCTTTGTTAATCTACTTTAAGAGTTACTATAAAAATGTAAGTCATATGGGGCATTTTCTTGGGAACAAAGTTCTTGAAAGTCTTACCTATAAATTCTGTTTTCTTTATTGTAACTTTAATTTTTTTCTTCATAGATTCATACTTTTATGTAAATTTACCTGAGATTCTTCTATTTTATATAAGTGAAAAATCAAATAAAAATAATTTTCTAACAGCTTTATGTTTGACTTTAGCTTCTGCTCTGTTGAGGGTTATCCACAAAACTACCCTCAGATTTCATAATTCCTTAGGATAACTTACGAGATTCAATATGTAGTTCTCAGGATTATGGTTTATTATTACAAAAGAATAAAAACAACCAGGCCTGGTGGTGTATGTCTGTAATTCCAGCATCTGGAAGGCTGAGGCAGGCAGATCACTGTGAGTTCAAGGCCAGCCTGAACTACATAGTGAGACCCTGTCTCAAAAGAAAAAAAATACAAAGCAAAAAGCAAAATCAGTAATGTGGTAATGGGAAAAGGTGCAGGAGAATGAGGTAATGTCTAAACAGTCATGCACTTCGAAGAGTTCTCTTCTGATAGACTAACGAAACACGGTTTCCATGGGAATGAGTTGTGATAACACAGGAAATGTTGCACACTAGGGTAGCTCATTAGGGTCCCAGTGTTGTTTTTACGGGGAGCTGGTCACATACGTATCATCTGCCTAGTGCCTACCAAAATTCCCGACTCAGAAGGAAAGTAGATGTTCATATAAGCTATCTTGTTTGCATGCAGTTTAGGCACTTTAACTCTCTTAGAGTGGCAGAAATCCTCCTGAAGAACAGGTTGCTGGATGCCAGCTCAGGGGCAACCCTGAAAGCAGATCTTTCTCAAGACAGCAGTGTCAGATGTCTTTTTCTCTATACTTACGTTCATCTTTCTTGACTCCTCAGTATTAAAGTCTGTTTCTCATCTCCTTTATTCTTAAATTCTTTTTTCTTAGCTCCTCTCACAGTGTATCTTCTCATACAGATGCTGATTATTTTCTGTCAGCTTTCGAAGCTCTTTTTCTTTCATTTATTATTTAAATATGAATGTTCTTTAAGTGTTTTTGCTTGCCTACTTTTCTTTGTAATTTAACAAATGAGCTTTAACTACAGCAACCTCCAATATATTGATGACTAACTAGAGTCCACATATGTGTTGCGGACTAATGTGTATATATTTCCCGAGTGCAGACCTGTGCTTCCAGCTGCTTTCTATGAGGTTTTTGCTGGGTGGACTACAGTATTACAGATTTTGCACGCTCAGAACTGAACTCGTACCCTGAAGTCCTCACTTGACTTCCCATTTCTGTTCATTTTTTCTGTCCTCTTATCAACGATCATTCAGCACGTCTTCTGAGTCTGGGAGAAATCCTAGCCTTCTGCTTTCGCACTTCACGGCCAGTCAGTTCTGCCTCTGAGTGTCGCTTATCTCTGTAGCCGCTGTTTAATTTTTGCTTTGCTGCAAAGGTAATTTTTGACAACCACTTTCTTTTTTGTCTTTCCCCCTCTCTAGTCCGTCCTCCATACTGTTTCTAGAGAGTGTTTGTTAATGTAGCTACTGCAATATTGCGCTGCTAAAAATGACTCACTGGTCTCCTAATACAGTGTAATTTTTCAAATTCCTTAGAAACTTTAGTAGAATCTTAGATGCTTTTCTGACTATCCCTCCTTTTTTCCTCCTAAGGTATGTTTTGCTCTTCCAAGTCGCTCATTGTAGTCCAATTGCAATCTGTAGTACTTTAGTATAACTTATACTATCTATGGTAATTATCTTTTTCCTCATCTGTACTCTCAACAGACCCTCAGTAATTTGCAGACAAGAGCTGAGTTGTCTCAGCTCTTTTGTGATGATGGGTTTGAACGCAGGGCCTCATGCATGTATATTATGCAGGTACTCTACCACTGAGCCAGCTACATACCCAGGCTTGTTTTCCTTTGTGTCTTAAGCATATATCATAGTTCTTGACACATAATATATTTTAATAAATGTTATATTGATAAATAAATCAGATGAAAATGTAATTTAATTAAAAATATGCCTTTTATTCATAATTTAACAATAGCCAGTAGCTAACATTTTGCTTTTGTGTCTTGTGATGATTTAGGTGTGGGGATTGATGGAGGCAATGATAAAGATTGGGAAGCCAATGCCTGCAAGATCCAGCTCATTAAGAAGAAGGGGAAAGTGAAGGCGCTGAATGAAGAAGTTTACAGTAATGCGCGCTTTGATTTGTGTCTTCATTCCTCTCCTGTCCCCACCGAGTACTCCACAGTTTGGGAACCATTTCAAGGATAATGATTCTAAAATTGCAAGAAGTGAAGAAAATAGTTTTGCTACTGTTTGAACTGGGTTTCCGTTGTGACTGAGCTTTAAAAATGACCATGGTAACTCGAGAGGGAAATTAATGAGGTCTATTGGATTCAGGGCATGCTCAGTATCTTAAAATGAAGTTATATCAGAAACACAGTTCCTGAAGAATGGTCTTTCATAGGACAGAGATTTTGTTGGTAGTGCCCTTGTTTGTGTGTCTTCAGTTGGTAGTTTTTACCTTGCATTTACTTTGCTTAGTAATGACTCAAATGCAAAATTCTGACAATTTGTATGAACCAAAGAAAAAATTGCTTTCTTTGAGTAAGAAGATGAGAGTTTTCTATTTAACAAGAAAAGAAAAAAATAAAATTATGTACTGAGGTTGCTAAAATGTGATAGGTCTGAATCTTTCCATAAAATTGTGAAGAAGAAATTCATGCCAGTTCTGGTGTTGCATCTCGTATAGAAGTTATGATGATAGTGTGAGATCAGTGCTTATTTGTGATAGAAAAGGCATCAAGTTTCTGTTTTGTGCAAATATAGGAAAACATACAGTGTTAATAGAGTTTGGTATAGTCTGCCGTTTTAGGCATCCATGACAATTTTAAAATGTGTCCCTTGTGGATAAAAGGGAACTACTGAAATTAAAATTTAATGTAGCTTGTAGCATGTCTACAGCATTAACACTGGGAGTTTTCGTTTTATCTTCTCCAGAACAACAGGATATGGATTTGGATGTAGAATTTGATGTACATCTTGGAATAGCTCATACTCGTTGGGCAACACATGGAGAACCCAGTCCTGTCAATAGCCACCCACAACGCTCTGATAAAAATAACGGTATGAGAGGATTTTGTGCATTTTGTAGTTACTGTAGTTGTAGGTATTGTAGGTAATGAAGGTGTTTATGTTTTTTTATTGTTTTAATTTTTTTCTAATCTGGAACATTTCAACCATATTCAGAAAGAGAATATACTGAACTTGAATTACCTACCTTTAGGATTTATGCAGTACATGACCAATTAAGTTTATCTGTATTATTTTGGAGGCCAATATAGAATTACGACTTTTCAGAATCTATAGATTCTCTCCCTTTTTCTTCTATAGGTTTCTCTTCCTTTTCCTTGGAGTTTACTATGCTGGCCTATAGAGTTATCTGTAGTTTCTGTGATGATAAGGCATGGATAAGTCATTTAACATATTTCTTTATCTCTTATATTTCTTTTTCTTTTTCTTTTTTTGGGGGGGGGATAGAATCTTGCTCTGTAGTTCAGATTGGTCTCAAACTTGCAGTGATCCTGCTGCCTCAGCCTCTCAAGTGCTGGGATTACAGGCATGTACCACTCCCTGGCTGTCTATGTTTCTTATAAATAATTTTGGAGTTCAGTAGGCATGGTGATGAATGCATATGGGCCTAGACTCTGGGATGCTGAGGCAGAAAGATCACATTTAACCTAGCTTGGTCAACTCAGCAAGACCCAGTCTCATATATAAAGAAATGTATAGGTAGCTCAGTTAGATGTCCCTGGGTTCAATCCCCAGTACCAAAACAAACAAAAACAAAAAGGATTTTTTTGCCTCTAAGGTACATACATAATATTGCTTTTCTCTGTTCCCCTCTCTTTTTTTTGCAGTATTGGAGGTTGAACTCAGAGCTTCAAGCATGCTAGGCAAGCAGTTTTATCGCCTTGTTACATTACCAGCCTGATAATTTTCCTCTTGTGTTAGAACTCATTGATAATTATTACCTAGACGAATTATTTCTTTAAGGCTTGTCAAATGGTGATAGCCCATTATTTATTTTTTTGATGCCTAATATTTTCATTCCTTCTTCACTTACAATTTCAAATACTTGCACAAAAGGAAAAGTTTTCATATCAATTACTTTATAATCCTGAGATACATATTGTATAGAATAGGCAGGGTAATTTTTTTTTTCCCCTTTGCTACCATTATTCAAACATTAAGTGGCCCTGATGTTACCCTGAGAGGAGCAATGAAATTTTTTTTTTTTTAATGAACTCAAGATATTCATTTGATTTGTTTTAAAACACTGAACATATGTGTACATGTGTATTTATTTTGGTTTTGTAGTATAAATCAGAGGCTGCTATTTAGGTTTTTTGTACCTCAGTAATATTATTGAACTGAATTTAATTGCTGGCAGTCACTTAGGCTTTTAACACTGGCAAGGCCTTTATCAAAAGATAGCTGAAAACTTAGTATCTAGATTGTTTCAAGAATTGTCAGCTATTTATGATTCTCTGTGTTCTAACATTAAATTTTTCCCCTTAAATTTATGTTTATAATTGATACCATCTTCTCTCTCAAAAGTGTAATGAAAATATTTATTTAGTTTGTAATGCATTTCAATTCAGACTCAGTATTAAGTTAAAATGATAGATTTTGAGATATAGTCATAAGGTTTTAATAATATAGTATAAAATTTAATTCAGGCCAGAAGTGGTAGTGTGCCTGTACTTGCAGCTGTGTGAGAGTTTGAGGCAAGAGGGTCTCCTGAGTTCAGAACTTCAAGGCTAGACTGGAAAAGGGTGAGGCTCTGTCTTAAAAATAATTGGATTTAGTAGTAATCTTCTCTCACAGGAATTCTAAATAATAAATCCACATGGGTAATTTTTATTCTCTTTTTGTGGTACTGAGGATTAAGCTCAGGGATCTCTGAACTATGTCCCTCGCCCTTTTTAAAATTTTTATTCTGAGATAAGGTATTGACATTTCTAAGTTGCCCATACTGGCCTCAAACTTGGAGACCTCCTGCCCTAGCCTCCTGAGTAGCTTGGATTATATGTGTGTACCACTGTACCTGGCCACAGTGGTAATTTTCATGTATAGTGTCAGTGGCTATAGGTATTGTTAATGTTAGCTCTTGATCATCTATTCTTATGTATTTCAAAGTTATCATCTAATAAAAATAGATGAAAATAATCCCTAGATTATATATATTTGCTCTTGGAATGATATTTTAACATTTTTATGTGACATTGCAGAAATTACCTAGACCTCACACAAAGAAATTTAATTATAAAACTAAACTATTATTCTTGCTAAAAATTTTAAATTTAGTCATTAAACTCATTAATTAATCAGAAATTGTTTTAGTGTGAATGCCCCTCTCTTTAGATTTATATTCGGGAAGGAGAGGGGAGAGAAATGAGAATAATGGTTATTCAGTTGAGTCCTTTCTGCTTGGAAATGAAGAAACAGGCCCAGGGAATTTGCTCCTTTCATGTGGTAACAGTTGGTCAGTAGTTTAGTCACAAGTGAAATTGATTTCTCTGGATTTCCAGTTTATGTATTTCTTCACTGTATGTCCCTCCCAGTATGGTGTGCTTTCCCCGAGCCACATAAAGTGTTGTCAATCTACCTGATGATAATTCAGTAATGAAGCGTAGATGATACTTGATTATACTTAGAAAATACAGCATGTTAGAAAGTTTTTGAATTGATAAAATCTTCTCACAATAATAGCTATTTGCAGCATTTATCAGATTTCTAATTTTTTGTTATCAATTGTTTTTATCTCTTCTAGAATTCATTGTTATTCATAATGGAATCATCACAAACTACAAAGATTTGAAAAAATTTTTGGTAAGTAAGTGACCTCAGAAGACTGCAGTCTTGAGCCAGATGTGTGTCACATGCCTGTAATCCTAGCGCTTTGGAAACTGAAGCAGGAGAATTGCTGCAGTTCAAGGCCAGCCTAGGCTACATAGTGAGACCCTGTTTAAAAAAAAGAAGACCCCATACCCCAGTCTTTGAGAATACTTTTAACAAGAATGGTGAGGTGGTTTTTCGGATGTGCTCATACCAATTAGGTGTGATCAGGTAATTCCTGAGACAATTGCAAGAATATGGTGGTTTATTGGACTTTTCTTTGTTAATAGTGAAGCAGTTCTGTTTGTGTATAAGAAAAGGAAATAATTATTTGACTTTTTTCGCGAATGTCTAAAGCTCAAAATTGCAATAGAGGTGTAGCTTAATGACAGAGTGATTGCCTACATCCCTGGCATGATGTGGATACATAAGTAAGGTCTTGGGGGTTATCTGTTGTGCTATAAAATACATTGTTTGGTATTTTTAAAAAAAGTTTCTAGGATATGTATGAAGAATCAGGACAGATTCAATAAAACATGTGTATCTTCAACAGTTATGTTCTGTGCTGGGGTGGTTGCAGTGGTGACCTTGGTGGTGCCTTCCTAGAGCCATCCAGCTGAGTTTCCTGCACTGAGGGTAGTGTTCTGTGTTAGTACCAGCCAGCACAGTAGCCACTGTCTACATATGATGACTGCACTGCATTGACTGAGAAATAGGGGTTTTTTTTGGCCTTTTTTTTGAGATAGGGTATCACTATGCAATTTAGGCTGGCCTTGAGCTCACTTTGTTCCCCAGGCTGGTCTTGAACTTGCAGGTCCTCCTGCCTCAGCCTCCCGAGTGCTGGGATTACAGGAGGATTTTTAATTTCAGTTAATTTTAGTTAAGTTTAAATAGCCATGTATAGCTTATGGGCTATTTTGTTGGCTACTGCGATATCATCATAAAAGAAAGACTTGTGGTATTCATTGTGAAATCAGTGTTTTGAGTGCCCCCATTTTAATTATTTAACATTTGCTTAATACTCTATACATGTGGCATATAACTTAGATAAGTGTGTGTTCACTTCATAGAATGCCATGTTATTTGGGGTTCACTATAGTCTGATAGTGGCCTTAATTTTGAACAATGAGTAAATGGGGTATAGAATTAAGGAATATTAGAAGTTGGAGAGAAGAATTCTGTAGAAAAAATTTGCCTGTTATTATTTCCTTGAATTTTTCTTCTTCTTTACTTACAGGAAAGCAAAGGCTATGACTTCGAATCTGAAACAGACACAGAGACAATTGCCAAGCTTGTGAAGTACATGTATGACAACTGGGAAAGTGAAGAGATCAGTTTCACTACGTTGGTGGAGAGAGTTATTCAGCAGTTGGTAGGAATGTGCGCGTGGCTCTCTGTGTCTCTCTGCAGTCCTTGGACTCCATCTTCCTGCACTCTGCACGAAGTGGGGTTATAGGTGCACCCACGACACCAGCCGACTCCACACCTTTTATAGTGTTTATTTCTTATTAGTTCATGTTTACAGTACATAATATTTACATTTTTCTTACAGAGTGCACATACTTACCAATTCTTTTTATTTCCCTAAATCTCTGTTCCCATCCCCTCCATTTGTCTCTAGACCACCTTACCATTTGCAAAAGACCTATCTTCCTATTTCCTGTTGTCTTTTATTTATTTTTAATGATTTATAATTTGGGTTTCTCATACAAGAGAAGTTACATGATCTTTATGTTTGCATGTTTAATTTAACTTCGGTCTCAACGTACATCTATTTGCCAATAAATGACTCAAATTTATCCTTGTTTATGGGAGAATAGTACTCCTATTATGTATAAATACCACATTTCCTTTATCCATTAATCTATTGATACATACAGGCCACTGCTAGGACTTAGCTATTTTAAATTGTGCTGCTGTAAACATAAGTATACATGTTATACCGTGGCATGATACCTTTAACTTTTTGGGATGATACCTAGAAGGAAGCTTGGTCAAATGAAATTTCAAGTTTTAGAGTTTTACAGCATCTCTGTACTGATTTTTATAGTGGTTGTATAATTTACATTCCCACCAACAATGTAGGAAGATACCTTTTTTCCTGCAGCCTCACCAGCATTTGTTATTACTTGATTTTTTTGTCTATAGCTATCCATTTTAAATTAGCATGGACTCTTGGTGTTGTTTTAAATTGCATTTCTCTGATAGACAGAGATGTTGAATGTTTTTTCATGTGTTTATTGGTCATTTGGGCTTTTTCTTCTGAGAAATTTCTGTTCATTTTGGTTGCCCATTTTTTGACCAAGTCTTCTGTTTTGGAGGGTCTATTTTTTTTTGAATTTTTTTTTAATTCTAGAGATTAGTTTTCTGTCAGAGAAGTAGCTAGCAGGAAAAAAAAGTTCTCATTCTGTACCTTGTGTCTTCGTTATTTTCTTTGCAATCTAGAAGATTTTTGATTTAATACAGTTCCATTTGTTGATTCCCTTTACTATTTTCTTGTGCAACTGGGGCTCTGTTTAGAAAATCCTTCTTTGTGCTGATGTTACCAAGAGTTTTATCTGTTTTATCTTTCAGTAGATTGTTTCTGTTTTAATATTTATGCTTTTGATTCATTTTGATTTTGTTACATGGTGATAGATACCATTCTAGATTCTATCTTGTACATGTGAGTAAACAGTTTTCTGAGGACCATTTGTTAAAGAGGCTGTCTTTCCTCCAGTGTATGCTCTTGGCTCCTTTGACAAAGATCAGGTGACCTAATATGCCTGGGATTGTTTTGACATCTTTTCTCCTGTTCCATTGATTTGCAAGTCTGGTTTTCTGTAATATCAGACTATTTTTATCATTGTAACTTTATAATGTAACCGTAAATCTGGAATTGTGATACCTACTGCTTTGTTTTCATTGCTCAGGATTGCTTTTGCTATTCTGGGTCCTTTTGTTTCTATAAAATTTTAGGATAGTTTTTTCTAGTTCTTTGAGAAATGTTGTTGGTATTTTTATTGGGGCTGCATGAAATTTGATTCAGTTTTGGAAGTATGGCCATGTTAACAGTGTTGGTTCTGCCTAATCAAGCGCAGGGGATTTAAATTTGTTGATGTCCTCTTTGATCTTCTTTTTCAGAGTGCTGCAGTTTGCATTGTAGAGGTCTCTCATTTTCTTAGTTAGATTCATTCCTGAATATTTCAATTTTTCCTAATGCCATTGTGCATGGTATTGCTTTCCTAATTTTTTTCTTTGCGAGATCAATAATTGGTTTATAGAAACCCTTGATTTTTGTGTGTTGATTTTGTATCCTGCTATATTGCTAATTTGGTTATTCAAGCAATTCTTTGGGTCTTCTGTATAAAGGATCATGTCATGTGCAAATACTGGTAATTTGACTTTTTCCTTTCCTGTACATATCTTTTCTCTCTTCCTCTCTTTCTCTTACAGGATTGTGTTGGCTGTTCCAATTACACTATTGAATAAGAGTAGTGATAGTGGATATCCTTGTCTTTTCCTAATTTTAGAGGGAAAGATTTCAGCTTTTCCTCATTTAATATGAGGTTGGCAGGAGGTTTGTCATAAATGGCTTTTGTTAGATTGATGTACCTATTTTCTTCAGTGTTTTTGTCATGAAAGGTTGCTGGATTTTTGTCTATCTGTGAGGTTTTTTTGTGTGTCTGTTGAGATAATCATATAATTTTTGTCCTTGTTTCTGTTTATGTGATACGTTTAATGATTTGTGTATATTCAGCTATGCTTGGATCACTCGGGTGCAGCCTACATGATCACGATATGCGATCTTCTTGAATTTTTGCATTTTGTTTGCCCAGTATTTTGCCTAGGATTTGGTGTTTATGTTCACTAAACAGAATGACCTGTAGGTCTCTTTGTCTCTTTTTTAAATTAGATGCTTGTCATGTTTTAGAATCAGAGTAATGCTAGTACTCAGGAATGAGTTTGGAAGTACTCCTTCCTTTTGAGATTATTAAAATCTTAGATTTGAAGTTGAGAAATAGTGGTATGTATTCCTTGACGTTCTTTTGCATTCAGTGATGAATATATCAGGTTCTGGGCTTTTCTTAGTTGTTAGGGTTTTTTTGACTGGCTCAATTTGATGACGTGCTATTAGCATGTTCAGGGATTTTATGTCTTGTTCACTTTTGTGATTCATTTGAGTCTAGATATCTGTTCATTTTTTCTAGATTCTCTTAAGTTTGTGGAATATAAGTTTTCGTAGTAGTTACTAATGATCTTCTGGATTTCAGTGGTGTCCATTATGATTTTTGTCTTGTGTATTTCTAATTGATATGAGGTTTTTCTCCTCCTCTTGGTAAGTTTGAGGGTTTTTCTATTTTCTTTTGAAGGACCTGCTCTTCGAGTCATTGATTCTTTCTGTCCTTTTTAGTCTGAATTTCATTAATTTCTGCTTTGATCTTTATGACTTCCTTCCTTGTACTAGGTTTGGTTTTGGACTGTTCTTATTATTTTAATGTGTTGTGTGGCTTCTGATTATTTTAGCTCATTCTGTTTGTCTAATGTGAGCATTCAGAGGAGTAAACTTCCATCCACTTTCATTGTATCCCCTAGGTTCTGGTATGTTGTACTGGCATTATTATTTGACTTTAAGAATTGTTTGATTTCTTCTGTGACTCATTGAGTATTCAGGAGAGTTATTTATTGTCCAGGTGTTTGTAAAATTTCTTTGATAGCGATTGATTTCTTACTTTAGTGTGCAGTGATCTGATAGTATACATGGGATACTTTCGATTCTTTTGTATTAATTTAAGCAAGCTTTGTGGACTAGTTGATGTAATCTATTTTGGAGAAACTTTCATGTGCTGTTGAGAATAATGTGTATTCAATTGTAGTAGGGGAGAACAGTCAGTAAATATCTATTAGGTTTGGAGGTGTGGTTCATTTCTGATACTTCCTTGTTGAATTCTTTTGTCTAATTGCTTTATTTGTGAAAATGGGGTTGTGAGGTGTCCCTTATTATGATTGTATTGATATTCGCTCTTTTATGTAGTAGTGTTTATTTTATGAAGTCAGGTACAACCAACCAGTATTTGGTGTGTACAGATTTACAATTGTTACTTCTTCCTGTTGAATTATTCCCATTACTAATATGTAGTGACCTTCTTTAATTCTTCTGTTTTTAGCTTGAAGTTTACTTTTTCTGAGAAGAAGTTTGCTACCTCTGCTTTAGGGGCCGTGATACGTGGAATTTTGTTTTTCATCATTTTTTTTTTAAATTTTATTTAAGGAGAAAAGAAAAAAAAAGCAGGGAAAGGGTACAAGTTATACAGATTTACAGAAAAAAAATGAACAGTAGGAAATCACTAGTTAATGGGTTACATATTGTCATCTTAGAAATAATTGTTCAAGTCACAAAAATTAAAGCTTGTAAAGTGGACATTCCATCAATGATACTGCAAACAGTTCTGTTCATTGATCCAATAAAACTCTGTGATATCATTTTCTATCTTATACACTTAAATATACATGCAGTTATATAGTTTGGAGCACTTTCTTTTCCTCTCTTTTGTACCATGACTATTACACATTTTGGGTTTCATTGCTCCCACGGTTCTTATTACTTTTTTGGAAGAGAGTAAAACCAAATGTGACATAACAGAACAGAATCGGTCAAGTCAAAAGGGTGGACATTATAGATAATGTAAAAACATAATACAAGGTGATCAACAATGGTTACCATAATGCCTCCCGCTATCTCTAATAGAATTGCCTATATCATTAGTTATAATACAATTGAACAAAACAGTAAAGAATAAAACCAACAAAACCAAAACATTGGAGACATTGTAGGTCTTCAAAAGTAGATAAAAGTCAACAAGAATGGGCGTCATAATGAATCTCATTATCTTCACAGCTGATGCCTAAACTTTCGAACCTGATACTATCCAGCAAAACAGAATAGGGGAACATCAGTTAAAAACCAGATGGTGAGAGTAATACAGGGCTTTAAATCGAGGTAATGGAAAGTCAAAGTGGGTTACTATAATATATCCTGCTATTTTTTCCCTTTAATTAAATGGATAAAAATAAAAAAGTAAATAATGGAGTGGAGATTGAGAAAAAAGAGGGCATGGCAGCGAAACAGGGCAGATCAAAACATAACCATTTAAGCAGAATAGTGTTTCACCACCAGATAATCCTAACCTAAAAGTAGTTACCATATTGTTTCTTTCTTTGAAATCCTTGAGTACAACTTCGTATACTGTAGCATTAAGTATATCAAAACAATGTAAAACCATTCAAGAGAATGACAGCATTACAGAGTATTTAGAATCAACTAACAGAAAATGAACAATGTTTTCATCATTTTTTTTTAGTTTGTGAATTTCTTTTTGGGTTAGATATGTC